GGCAAGCAATAAAATAAAGGAGTAAATCTCCCCAGTGGGGACACAGCAATAAAAACTGGTCTAACAAAGGGATAGGCAACCTTGGCACGCCAGTTGTAATAAAACTACAAATCCCATGATGCCTCTGCAAATCATGTCTGTGGCTCTCAGAGTCTTGCAATGCCTCATGGGATTTGTAGTTTCCCCACAGCTGGAGGGCCAAGGTCGCCTACCCCTGCTCCATTCCTTCCCCACTCCATCCAAAAATTATATAAAAATAAACGTTTTTGCCCAGAAATACACTTACATTTTTAGCACTATTGCTGCCTTGAATGAGAAATGTGATGAGAAAGCATTAGGTAAACTGTCCTGTTATTCAAAGACGATCAGTCACCTTGTGGAGTAATGTGTGCTGTACCCAGAGCAGTTCTTTCTCAGATACATGTAACCAGCAAGGATTGGACAATTTGTTATCTATTCAAAAACATCTAGTCCCCTATGAAAAGAAATCCCTCAAAAAGAAGATGGTCAAATTTGTTATCTCTGTAACACAAAAAGAACGACACCACAGTGCATTGCAAACAGACGCATCAATGTGAATCCATGCAATCACATGCATCAAGGGGACCATAACAGTCAATGGCAGCACATGAAAATGCATGTTACATGTGTTTTTATATGCTGTGAATGCATTACAATGTGCAATAAAAAAAGCCCAGCAAATGAAGTGCATAGATGTAGAGTTAGCACTAAACTAAGCTCTCTCTAGATATTAGGGACCATAAGAACTGCACAAACAATATTATTCATTTTTTATGATTTATACAGTTCCCTTACAACCCTTAACCATATAATAAAGTGAGTCAGAGAGTGGCACTCGCCACACCGCCTCCGCCTGCAGTACATTGAACTTTATCGGAGGGTAAGGTGCAATTCATATCAACATTCGTCATCAATCAAACTCTGTCATATTTATGGTCTTGGCTGAGAAGCCTCTCTGTGTATGACTCATAAACAACTCAGAAAGAACACTGTCACTGAAAATCAATCAGGTGATTTGTATTTATTTTACCCAACACTCAATTTATCTCTGTAGTGGGTTAAACTTTTACAGATCACCCTACCCTACCATCCGCATACAATACTGCCTGATGGCAATGATGGAGAAGGCACCACCCTGTGGCGTACCAAACATAATTGACACTTGGAATCCCCCCCCCCCCCACCACACACCCCCCCGCACGCCCCATACCAAAGTAC